TGGATTGAATTCAATTCCTTTGGTTAATGGTTTTTAAATTAGAACCTAAATCAAAGACTTTCAGTTTCACCAAAATCTAACCATGAATCATGCTCAGATAGAACCAGTCCAAGCTTTAACCCTGAGATTGATTCTATCTATTCCAAAAAATTGTTCTCAGGACGCCTATAAATTGAATAATCATTAAAATATAAAAGAAGGTGATTTTAGAGAGGAACAGGCGAAAAATTAGGAAAATTTTGGTTGTTGAAGGTCTGGGAAATAGTTCTGGGTATAATAGAAGTCTTGGGATTTTGATTTTTGATTTTGGTTCATTTGAAAGATTCTGGGTTAGATTTAGGTTTCTAGAGGTTGGATTAAGGTTTTGGAAGATTCAGGGAGTAATCTGAGCAAAATTTAAAAAATTTAGAAATTCTAGGATTTTCTGAAACAATATGGGTTTTTAGGAAAAACATGAAATTTTCGATGAGTTTTTCGATGATCGATTGAATTTTTCAACCAGATTCCAACCAATTTTCTAGAAATTAGCAAAAAATCCAAATTTTTTTATCAAATTTTTGGATTTGTTTTAGAGAGAAGTTAGAGCTTTTAAAAGTTAAAGAGAGAAGAAACTCGAGAATTCTGAAGAAAAATGTTGAGGATTGCTTTTTATATCGCTCCAAAACGAAAGCATTTTGGAAGCCCTTGACCCGTGCATCTACTTGATGACCCACGTGTCGACCCATGCACTGACCCAACCTGGATTGCAAGGTTTCCTTTTTTCATTTTATTTTTATTTTTTGATTTTATTTGATTTTATTTTTCAGCTTATTTTATTTTTTAGTTTTTATTATTTTTCTAGTTTTATTTTTTAGAAATTTTATTATTTTATAAAAATTGTTTCTATTTAAAAAAAAAAGGAAAAACCGATTATATAAAAAATCTTTACAGTAAACAAAAGAAAAAGAAAAAAAATCCTTTCATTAAAAAAATAATCTTTTTCAAATAAAAAAATCCTTACAAAATAAATTCATGGAATCCACCAAACTATTGAGAAATTCATAAATCAATTTTCAAAATAAGATAAAAATAAAAAAATAATTTTTATCTTCTAAACTATTAGAGGATTGTTTCAAAGTAAGTCATACCAAACTATTGTGAGACTTTACTAATTTTTTTGAAATAAAATAAATTAACAAATCTGATGACGGAGCCTTTTTAGAGTGAGACATTAGCTTTCATTAATACTCTTGAGGTGAGAGAATTATCTTAAAATTCTACCAAACTATTGAGATAATTTTAAGATACATTTTCAATACTAAATTATCTGGTAAATCACATATGATCAAGGCTTAGATAATTTAAAATCTAACTGGTATCATCTTTTGGATGGGTGCTGTGGGGGTGCTATAAGCTTTTCCAGGCGTAATCATACTTTCGAATCTAAACTTTGATTTCGTAGATCAGATTCAATTAGATGACCAATCACATGTAAACAAAAAAGATTTATGGCTACTCATATAACCCATGTCAGCGGTAGGTCCATGGATCTATACATTATGATAGGATGCATCACATTTCACCTTAAACATTTGATCAAAGTTTAGTAGGGACAAGATGAAAGCTTCAGTGATCTTGGTCTTCATGAGCTCAAAGCTGTGTTGGGCTTTTTTGGTCCATTTAAAAGCTTCATTATTCAAACATTCAGTGACGAGAGCCACAATAGAGCTAAAACTCTTAATGAAGTGCCTATAAATAGATGTAAGGCCATGAAAGCTTCTGATATCATGTAGAGATGCTGGTGTTGGTCAATTTAAAATTGCCTTAACCTTGCTGGGATCTATCTTTATTCCTTCCTCTGACACTACAAACCCTAGAAACAAAAGGCTAGAAGTAAAGAACTGCACTTTTTAAGGTTAACATATAGTTTTTGTTTTTTCATTATGCAAAATAGTTAGTGTAAATGATTCAAGTGTTGGTCCTTATCTTTGTTGTACACTAGAATATCATCAAAATGTATTGCTACATATCTACCAATACAAGGTTTAAGGATATGATTCATAAATCTCATGAAAGTACTAAGAGCATTTGATAAACCAAAAGGCATTACCATTCATTCATAAAGACCATCCGTTGTCTTGAAGGCTATTTTCCACTCATCTCTAAGCCTCATTTTGATTTGGTGATAACCACCGTGTAGGTCTATCTTGGAGAAAATAGTTACTCCATGTAGTTAGTCTAGCAAGTCATCTAAACGTGAATAGGAAAGCGATAGTCAATTGTGATTTTATTGACTGCCCTACTATCCAAACACATGTGCCATGATCCATCATTTTTAAGCACCAAAGGGGTTGGGACTACACAAGGGCTCATGCTTTCATGCACCATTCCTTTTTTCACCAATTCATCAACTTGGCATTGCAACTTTGCATGCTCTTTAGAACTCATCTTATAGGCTGCCTTGTTGGGTAGAATGGCTATTGGGATAAGGTCTATGCAGTGTTGAATGTCCCTTATTAGTGGTAGACCGTTGGTAACTCTTCATGAACAATATCTTGAAATTCTACCAATAATAGTTGTATCATTACAGGGGATTTCTCACTATCTTTATTCTTCTCAATCAACACCAGTGCATACAAAGTACCACCTATCTTAATTTTTTCTGTAATTGGCTTTGGAAAATAAGCTACTTCTTTATTTTTTGATTAGTTTTGACATCACCATTGGCTTGGTAAAGCCTAAGAAGATTTTGCATCCATTCTTCACAAATGTGTAAGTGTTGTAATAATCATCATAAATAACGCTTATATCATAATGCCAAGGTCTTCCAAGCAGTAAATGGCAAGCATCCATTACAGCTACATCACATCACACTTCATCTTTGTATTATTTTTTTATGAAAAAAAAAATCAAACACCTTTTGCTAATCTTGATTTCATCCTCTTTCTACAGTAAAAATAGCTTATATAGTTAGAGGTGATCCACTACCTTAAGACCTAATCTCTGCACCATAAAGGTAGAAAAAATGTTTTTAAAACTTTCACTATCAATTATAACATCACATATATTCTTATGGGCAATACACCGAATATGGAACATGTTTTTACACAACCAATCTTCTTTATTAGTAGGTGCAGTACTCAAGCTGCATTGTATGACTAAGGATGCTCTATAATTGCCATAGGTTACCTCTTTCTCCTCTTCAAGGTTTTGATATTTTTCAGTCAGCTCCTCTTTATTTTTTTCCAGTCTTCCTCTACTAGAGTGACAATCTTCATGTTTGGGTATTCTAAGGCAATGTGTCCAAGCACTTGACATTTAAAACACCTTCTGGTTTATGCACTAGATTGAAGTTTACTTGTTGAGGTTCCATCTTTTTTTTAGGGCTGCTTTGGAATGGGCTTAGAAGGAACAATAGTCTTGGATGAGCAACCTTTATTGATTTAGCTTTTTCGGGACACAAATCTCAAGTTACTACCACGGGCCTCTTTTTGTTGTCTCTCTACCTTAAAGGCAAGCTTGCATACATCATTAAAAGTCTAATAGGGTTATAGCTGCACTACATTGGCTATTTCAATCTTTAGTTTTCCAAGATACCGGGCAATAGTCTGCTCCTTCTGTTTCACCAATTCACATTTTAACATAAGGTGGTCAAACTTAGCTGTGTACTCCACTGAGAGATCTTTTTGTTTCAAGTTATGGAGCCTAAGGATGATATCTTGTTGGAAGTTGTTTGGGAGATATTTTCTCTTCAACTCTCTTTTCATCTTTTCTTAAGTTGTAATTTTTCTCCTCCTTTCTCTTTTCTTTTGTTTATTTAGATTTTCTCATAAAAAATATGTATGTTTTCTAAGTTTGATGGCCACTAGTTTAACCTTATGATATTCAGAGGTATCATGGTATTTAAATATACGTTCCACCGTGTGTAACTAAGCTAAGAATTCTTTAGGTTACATCTTCCTCTCGAACTCAAGAATCTCTATCTTCAGATTAAATATGCTAGGTTAAAGTTGGTTTTTGCGTAGATAGTCTCTGACTTGTCGTGGGTGAGATAGGGTGCTATCATCAAAATTGCTATTGTTTTCATGGTATGGATTGGTTTTTACTTCATCTTTTTCGTTCCTCCTTAGTTGCCTCCTTATCTATTATCTCGTTTCTTGTATATACAGTTGATGTTATAGTTAGAGGATCTGTTATTGCATCTCTTCCATGAGGGCATCCCTAAGGTCAACATTGGTAATTGCTGCAACGTTGGTGTTGGCTTCAACCTTTTCTGCTGGTGCTTGACGACAACGACCTGCCATAACTTTAATAATAATTTGATACTGTGAATTGATGTTTGAGATGTGGAGATTAATTGCAAATAGAAAAACTCATAAAGAAAATAACTCACAAGGATTTGAATAATGATAGAATATGATTATTGGATTAAAATGGATAAAAGTTCACCACCAAGATTAGAAACTAAGGGATATAGAAACACCACCCTAAGAATTCTAATCAATGATACAGAACAATAGAAGTTCACTACTCTAGGAAATCTACTTAACAGATACAAAACTTGAAGAATAATCTAAAAGATTGCTTAATGATAAAGAAAACTCGATTCTGCTTTTTATCAAAGAATAATAGAAAATATATAGGTTAGGAACATCCCTCCAAGCATGGGAACTTTCAGATTGCATTGCTAAAATTGTTTTTAAAATCATGGGATTTGCATGTGAATATAATCTGTTCATTTATTCATGCAGATTACATGATAATGAATCTGACTATAATCCTATCCATATTCATGCTCTTTTTTTTAGCTAGTGTGAACACAATCTTTTTATTTTAGCCCACCTTATTTATGCATTTATTTAATGGATTTGGATAAAAAATAGACCCATCTTATTTTTGGATAAGTACTCTTTAGTTTTAGCCCAAATTGTAAGATGTGTTGACATTCCGTGTCAAATAGCTATATTAAAAATACTAATAGGTATATATATACGCTTGTAGAGTCAAAGCTCAAAACTTACCGTAAATAGAGAAATAAATGATGCACGCCTAGCATCAGCTGTAAGTAGTCCAAGTGCCTCAACAAAGTAGCCTCCACTGACCCAGAGTCCCAACTCTATTCTTGCCTTCCGGATCTGAACATCATCTCGAGCCCCAAGCACAAAGGGCAAGAATGGGATGGCTGACATGACAAACCGCGCAGCAGAAAAAGGTGCTGGATCCATTATAGTTTTAACTGTTTTTATAACTGGAATATCACTTGCTGCAAAATTTTACACCAACGTAATTCTTGGAAACAATTTAATCAATCTTGATTTCCGTATAAGATAGTTGAGCTCAGAATCTTTTTTAGCCTAATGTTTCTGTATTAATCATGCAATTTCTCTTATTTATCAATTGTATAGTTTTAGTTCATCTAGTGCTCTAACTTTTTAACTAAAATATCAAGTTAGATCAAATTGTTTACAAACCAAACAGGGAGCAGAGACATACCATAAACAGTGGTGATGACATTAAGCAAGATAATACTTCTGATCTTCTTGGATGTAAACAGAAGTTTCTGCCAAAAAGGCTGCCTTCTAACCACCGGCTTTTCTTCAATCTCCACATATTTTGGTGTGGGTTCTTTACCAACTTTGTCGTCTCTATGTACATCCGTCAAACAACCATCATTACTCCTTATATTTGGCACAAATTTTGTGTTGGTTGAGCAAGCAGTTACAGGAGAATTAGAATAGGAAGAGCTCAAAGAAGATGAAGTTGTCGGATCAAAAGACAAAGTAGCCAAACTATGTCTTCTATTTGTGAATTGGATGCAGTATTGGGAAGAAAAACATGGAACTAAAATTACTGCAAGGTATGGAACCATAGCCAATAATTGTTATTGTTGTCAGCTTCCATGTTCTTGTTAATGGGCAAACTATGGATGCCTGACCTGCATTGCCCTCTTTCTCTTCAATTTTGTTGCTGAATCAGCTTAGCCATGTGAACCAGAGATTAAAGTGTAATATATTTTGCAAAATTATTGAACAAGAAAGAAATAATTGAAATTTTTGTAAAATGAAAAATTTTGAGCCATGAGAAGTGGGAACAGACAAGACAAGAACCCGGATTTTTTTTGAAGGCATGCGGCCGTTAGCATTTTAGCAATGACCACCAATGAAATGAATTACTTACACGTGAGACAACTTTTTTTATTATTTTAATATATAAAACTTTTTGCTAGATAATATTAACACTTGAAATTTGAATTTTCCAGACAACTTTTGCGATTGATCGAAGAAACTTCTCTTTTTGCACGGTGAGGCTGAGGGAATTTCCTTTTTCCCTTGTTTTCGTTTGTCTCAATCATCAACTAGTATTTGAAAAAAAATTCTTCACATTATCTTTTTAGCAAGGGTGCACACGGATAGGTTCGGATATTTAACAATTTTTGAGCCGATCCATATTATTTAATTTTTAAGGATAAATTTTAAAAATAATCTTGCGTTAAACAAAAATAAAAGTATTTTTTGAAATATAAAATATAATATTTAATTATTTTATAATTTATTTTTTTTTTAATTTTTTTAAAATCATTATTTTTTTATTTTTTATTTTTTCTCTATCTTAATTTATCTTTTTTCTCGAAAATAAAATAAATTTCTTTTTTAAATTCAAAATAATCCGCAAATAATAATCTTCAAATTATCAAATTATCTCTCTAAAATCGTAAGATTTCACCTACATTAAGCCTAACACCATATTTATTTCAAACCTAAGTAGATAAATATAATTGAAAGCTTATAGAAATGAAAACCTTTTTCAGCATGGATAAGTTACTACTAACATCATTTAAGAGGCAGCTTAAAGACTTATTATCTGGACAACTTGTCAGCTAACTTGGTCAAGTTTTGCCGACAATTTGTTTCACATTAAATCAAGCTCGGGGTCTAGTCATCCTTTACCAAATTTCAAATTTGAACCAAAAGCTTTACTGCAATAGTTGGACTCAACAGTGAAACAATGAAACAAAAAATAAAACACCCTGACAAACTAACAATCACTTGAAGACAGCTGTTAAAGCTGATGTATGTCCTAAAGTTCTATATATCAAAAACTGCTCCCAGCGACATAAGCATATGTTCCACATCATAGAACGAGAATCTAGGACTGGAAAGAGTAGATATGGGCAGACCATGAAGGGAAATTTTAGATGAATCTAGAAATACATAGACAACCTATTTACCAAACTAACGAAATGGGAGAATAGGAGCATACTCTCCACCTTTATATCAAGGAATGGTATTTTCAGTGCATGAATTCTTAGCTGCTGTAGAAGCAGCAGTTTGACGAATTCTTGGTTGATGAACGTCTCAATTATACACACGAGCAATAGTTACCTGGGCAATGGCACTAAAACAATCAAGTACTAAAAACCAACAGATGTTGAGATATAGAATATACATACCAAGAAGTCATTAAACATGATTAAGGAAAACAAGCTAATTATATTTTCTTCCATCCATTACAAATGAACAGAATTTATAGTTTGGCCCCTATTGGGTTGAACCATGTTTCACACAACCAATGAATTTTCTAATCCCTGAATAAGTTAACGATAAAGTCTAGGGGTGGTGGTGTGAAAGTTTTGATAGTTTAAAAATTATTATTTGAGGATTGGATTGGATTTAGAGATAGAATTGATTTAGTTTTAGAGAGAAAAAATAAATTTTTCAAGAAAAATAATGTATTGAGATGAAAAAGAAAGAAAAAAAATAAAGAATAGAAAGAAATGAAAAAAAGTGACGTTTTAGGTAAAAAAAATAACAAAACATATCCAAAAATAATTAAATGTTACGTTTTAAATATCAAAAAATATTTTTATTTCAATCTTAACTATAAGATATATTTTTAAAGTTTACCAATTTTTTAATTTTACAAATTGTATCTGAACCGTGCATTATCAAAAATTGAATCAAAATTTTCATTCGATATAAGTTAAAATCGTAATTTTTCTTAAAATATTTTCTTTTTAATTTTTCGTTGAAAATAAAAAACAACCCTAAAAAACCCCAATAAAAATTAAATTTTACATAAAAATGTTAAGAATAATATAAAAGTGAAGAAAGAATTTGAAAAAGAGAAAAAGACAATAAACAAAAATAAGTGTATCTAGATCTTTTATACCTTTTGAATCCTTACTTTTAAGTTGCAGAGAGACAAAAACCAGAAACTTGTTTCAAAAAAAAAAAAAAAAACAATTGACTTAACATTAAATATAGTTTTAATTAAAAGAGTCTACATTTAAAAGCCTTTATGATTTGGAAAATGCAATTCACATTATTGAATCAGAAGTTACCATTAAATAATAGTTTTAAAAGTTATAATGACAGCCTTCTGAAATTCTCAAGGCAAGATTTTCTTTTATATTATTAATTTTTGAAAGTTGGAAATTTCATTACTCAGATTTCAGGTTTATCAACTTCAACGAGCGTAAAAATATTCAAAGGAAAGTCATCTACCCAACATCTATCCTCCCTACTTTCTAGAGCCATTCTTGCAAGCTCATGGGAAATTTTTTGCTTCACGCCCAACATATTAACAAACCCACCATTGAACATATTCAACCCTAGCTGTATTTCCTCAATGATGCTTCCCAGCGGACCCAGGTCCTATTCATTCTGCTTAGCTTGATTTATAACATACAGGGCATCACCTTCCAGGATAATATTTTGATAACCCATCTTAGCTACAATTTCCACTGCTGCATTGGTAGCCAAGGCTTCAATCATAGTAAGTTCTTCGCACCCTCTAATCTGCCTGCACCACATCCCCATTGCTTCCCCCAGGCAATTTCGAGCTATCATTCCTATGCCTCCAATACGCCCCCGTTCATTAAGAGCCCCATCAAAATTTAGCTTTATGGTGTTTTCCTCTAGTACTCTCTGTACTATCTGATTCCTTTGTACCCCATTAATTTGCTTCTCTTGTGCCTGTTGGAACTCCTTTATATAGTTGAGAGCAAATCTTATTATTTGCTGGTGGGACCACTGCTTACTATTAATTATAGCTTCATTACGGTAGCCTATGCCATGATTAAAGTTTTTTCCTGCTCACCAGTTTCCACCCTTGATGTGATGGATTCCAACTAGTCCATCATGTTTCTCTAAGAGGGATCAGCCATGGGTGTATTAAATTGAGCATCCCTCCATATTTCAGATGCATGCACGCACTCCGCAATTGCATAACGAACTGTCTCATCAGCTAGACCGCACCTTAGACAGGTTCTGCATCGATAATCTTTCGCTCTTTCAACTTTGCATAGACAGGAAACTTGTGGCACATATGCCAAGCAAACACCTTCACCTTATTTGGTAGGTTTGTCTTCCACAGTTTCTTCCTAACACCCGTCCTTCCCATAACCTCCCCTTTCCCGTTATATGGTTGCTCCACTTGGCCTTGGGACCACAAGAAATCATAAGCTTATATCCGCTCTACACGTTGTACTTTCCATTACTATTGAAATGCCAGACCTTCGCGGTATTACCCCCCACCCAACTAACAGGAATGGACTCAATGTCCTCTACTGTTCCTTGTGAAAATAGATTTTCTAATTTTTCCACATTCCATTGCATGGTTGTTTCATCAAGTAGCTCTCGGACCCACACCTCACGTGGGTTCACACTCTCTTTCGAAAATGGGATAAAATTTCCAATCCTGGGTACCCATGGATCAGTCTAGATTCGGACATTCCCCCCTGTGCCTATCTTCCATCTTATGCCCATCTGGAGTAGCTCTCTTCCGACACAAATACTTCGCCAAATATATGATAGAGCCCTGCCCACTTCTACTTCCATGAAGGATGATATGGGGAAGTACTTTGCCTTGAGTACTTTGAACGTAAGGGATGAGGTATTATGCATCATCCTCCAACCCTGTTTTGCTAATAATACCTTATTGAAACAGTCCATCTACAAGCAAAAAGAAGTATTCAACCATTAATATTACATGTGGTTCGATTTGGGTTTAAATAGTTTTTATATTGAAATCCAAAATCGAAACCGCATACATCGAATATTTTGAAAATCCAAAATCGAATTTATTTATATAAAAAATCAAATTGAATCGATTCAAATACATGGATTCGATTCAATTTTTTATTTTTTCAGTCTATTTGCTCAGCCTTACTTTTTACCATATAACAACGAGAATATCCTGTGATTTAGGTATGGATTTAGAATTTATATTCAGTGGGTGAAAATTATAAATAATGTTAAATATAAAAAATATATATAAATATAAATTAATTTAAATTATATAAAAAATTATTTTGTTTATATGTAATATGTACCCAAAAAAATATAACACATTATAATTGTTCTTTATAGATTTTCACAGTGCAAAAGTAAACTCTTTGAACATTACTTCTCGTTGGGGTGATAGTCTTAAATTTTTTTGTAACTTTGGATCCAAAAAAAAAACCTAAATTTAATTCAACATGAATTTGTTTTACAAAATATTGTGTGCCACTAGTATTGATTTCAGATGATTTTTTCAAAATTAGCTTTCTTTTAATAAGATGTTTCTTCATAACTAATTGAATTAGATAGTTTAGTTTATATAATTTCTAAGAAGATATAATGAAATGCAATTATGCAAATAAAACCAACATGCTTAATTTATTATGTATTTTACATTTTAACTAAATAAAATAATTACACGTATGAAAAACAACTTTATAAAAATTAAATTACTTCATTGATCAACTTCAAGAAGTATGGCATTCTTAAATCTAATCCACTTTTTATTTTTTGAAGTAGAATAATTCCATTGATATTATGCCACATTACAGTTATTGTGAAAAACATTGGTAATAAAAGATGGACATTCATGAAGCCAGTACAAGGATGATCTTATTGTCAAAGCATGTTTTGCCAAAGAATCCGCTGCTTCTTTTGCACATTATCTCGCATGAACAGCTTTAAAAG